TGAGCAGGGAATTGCCGTATTAGAACCCTCCGGAAGCTGTGTGCTTCCTCATGGTATCAACAGTGGGCACTTGAAAGCTGCGTGCCTGGCACCTGGGATGCCAGCCCCAGCACGGAGGTGTCTGCCATGCTTCTCCAAAATAAAGCACTTGTGTTCCTGTCCCTTGTCCTTGGAAGTGAATCACCATGCCTAGCCCCAGGTAGGAGGAAGGTACGTAACTTCCATCCTGGAGTCAAGTTTCTATTTCATCACTTGGAAGTCTTCTGAGAGAAAAATTTTGTCCTCTTCCTCTTCACCTTTTCCAATAATCTCTCTCTGGACTCATTTTATTATTTGGGTTGTAATCCAAAGTAAAATTATTGCTGCTTGAACTATTCCAACTTCGACCCTCGTGAACTCTTTTCAGAATGGCCTGTGTCCTTTGGGTCTCTCTCATTTTAATATTTATGAGGCTTTAGTTCTTCCTTATTTTGTGGCATTGCAAAATAAGCCAGGCTCCTGTTGAGTTCAGCTGCTCCCATCCTAACCAAGTCAGTATTTCTCCAAAGGATAGTCCCTCTTTATTGAGGAATGGAGTTTAGAAACCGTGTTTGGCATCTGGGCCAGCTTCTTGTTGAGATATCAATGTACATGCACGCACACATTATATATGTGTGGATTTTTGTACAGATAATTATTCTGTTTCCATATCTGTATATACTTACATTAACATTAATGTAATTGTATACTGATAGTCTTTCATCTATCCACAGGATTTATTCCAAATAGAATTTTTAAAATAGTTCACACAGCTCAGAGTTGAGTAGCATAAATAGTCTATCAGAAATGGGTACAATTTTTGAAATTTTGAGACTCTTCAATTTGAGAGGAGGATAAAACTATCTTTGTATCTATGAACAACATTGGCTTCTTGAAAGGCAGAATCCTGCAGGATTGTTACTGTTGCAAGGGAATTCCAATGTGCTTAAGTATCAGGCGGGTGCATGATAGAAGATACTGTCTCCAGGTATCTGGGCTGCAGAGCTGGAATTGAGACCTTGCAAATCACCTTTCTAACTGGCTGCCTGTTAGTCTGTGCTCACAGGCACCAGAAGTAGACGCAAAGCTGCAGGAGAGAAGGGGCTGCTCCTTACTGCCGCTTCTGCTGCCTGCTGACAGTCCCCATCCGTGAGCATTAGCCAGCAGTGCTTCTTCACTGAGCACTTTCCTCCTCCTCTATTTTGCAATTTTTCTTAACAGCTGCAGAGCCACCCAGATCGTCCACATGAGCTCCAGACAAAACATGCCTTGTCTCTAGAGGTTTGAATTTCTGTCCACACTGTTCACCAGCTTCTAAGATCAAATAACTCACAATCTCTCTAAAACCCAGGAGATTTCCACACTTGCTACTCCCTCACAGCCAGGGCTCTTCAGGACCTTGCTAACAACGGAGCACTAAGCAACAAGTCTTTATATGAAGTTACCTGTGCTAAAGGGACTGGGAAAGCTTCTTTCCCTGACAAGGCCATTACTGATACAATTTAACGTATACTCATACATTGTTCACTTATATTTTTGAAAAAAAAAGCCTTATTATCTGTGGTAACAGGTGACTGGAAATGTATGTTTCATAATGCTTTCCTGGTGATGGAATATATTTATAACCAGATACATAATTGGAGAATTTGGCAGTTTCAACATATACTTTTTTTTATCTTGGGGGAAAACTGCATCTCTGATATGTGGAATTTTATCTATAACATCCTCAAGTCATTTCAAATTATTTAATAGATCCTCCCATCTATTTAAAACCTTTATTATGTTTTTCATATCCTGGGAAAGACCTCAAGGTTAGGAGAAAGTGAACTTCTTAGTTCTTAGAGAACTTCTTAATTCTCTAGATGCATTCTGGCTTGATCATTTTCCAAACTGCCTATTTTATAAAAGGAAAATATAAACTAAATCAGTGATTAATTCAGTGAATCAGACTATCCTGTCATCCCAACAAGTAACATTTTAAAGTGTTCAACTCTAAATAGTAGCTCTCTTTCCTGTGTCTGTCTCCTCCTCTCTACTTTTTTTCTTTTCAAGTAAACAACCTGAGGAAGAAGAACAGGTAATAAGAATTTCTTACCCTATTTTTCACTTTTCAAGTTTATTTGATCTCTTTGTACAACTTGATTATAAATAAACCAATAGCATCAGATTGTATGATTGAAGGAAGAGGTTTATTATCAGGAATAGTGCATACTCATATGCCACCTTATCACCAAATTATCACATAAACCCTTCAATTTCAATTATCTTTTGCAGAATTGGGGCAACAGTATCTCATAAAAAAGAAAAATAGAATCAGTGAAAAAATGTGTAACATAGTTCCTGGTTTAAAGTAAACATTCAAATAATGAATCCATCTGGTGATTTTTTTTTGACATTATGTAGGTGATATTTAACTCCATAAAAATTTGTGGGGTTTTTTTTAGTTGCATTAATAGTTTGCAAGAGATCTTTCAAAAGCTTATCAAATAATGCATTTACATGTAGCTTTTTTTTTTTTTTTTAACGTTGAAAGTCCAAGTCAAGATGCTCGCCTGGCCCACTGCCCTCATAAGCTACCTTAGTTACCAGGGAGGATGCTGTGTGCCCCATGACTTCCCACACACACACCTATAACCTGGATTACAAAAGTCACTCCTGGCTGGATGTCTGTAAGCCTATTTTAGACTATACTGTCTATTTTAATTTGTCGTTGCATTGGTTTAAGATGCCTGGACAACATCACCTAGAGATTCAGACTCAACCATCATACGTGACACTACCCAAAGGTGCTTGGATAGCAGTCCTCACCGACAACATCAGAGATGGCAGAACTGTTCGACTGGCCAGGTCCCCTTCTAGTTATTGTAATTAGTAACTAATTACTAGTAACCAAGATATTTCCTTATGCTCTTCCTAAAAGATCAGTAAACAGCCGATTACCTGAATCCTTTCTGGTCTGCCGATGATCACAGGAAAACTGCTGGTGGCTGAGTTGAGAAGACCCAGTTTACAGAACATGCCCAGTTAATAACAGTCTAGGTTGGGATTTTATTCCACTTGCACTGATGTGTCAGTCAGTTACTATCTCTTGGGACCAGGGAGAACAAAGACTCCTGGGTCAGTCAGAGACTTCCCTGCTTCAGGCACAGCAGGTGGCATGAGCCTCAGCGGGTCAGTATCAGTTCTTGCTGTCCTCAGACCCAACAGTGCTGGTGGGGTGGCAGGAAGGCTCCAGATAAACCCAGCTCAAACAGGGGGCTTTGATACAGAGCTTAAAATCCGGAGCTGGGGCGTACCCCCACCTTATGGTGCTCAGTGAGCTGCCTTCTTTATCTGGGGCAGAGTTCCCCATCCCTTGAGGTAACTTAAAAACCCAGCTCTCCAGTATTCCTGAGGAGAACTGTCAAGGACGCAGTCTCCTGAGCAACATGACCCTGAGAAGGGCCCAAGTAGAGAGGAGGCACAGGCAGCAGGACCCGGAAGCTATCTCCCAATAACCCCTCCACTGTCCAGTTTTGCTTCTACTTGCAGCAAAGTTCTCCGTGATCCCAGGATTCCACGGGCCACTCTGAGCCATTTAGCTGGCAGAGGCTGCACCAGGCCCATTCAGTTCCACTCAGTGTTTCATTAACAGCAGGAAGAAGCCACCCTGAGGTACTGACCTCAACCATGTCCCCGGGATCCCAAACTCGGTCAGTAGGGAGTATGTTCTAGGAGGGCAAGGACATCGTATTTTAGGTGCCAGACTGCAAAGCCAGGTCTGTCATCTACTGTCACCCATGCAAGGGACCTGCTACTAATCTGCTCATCTTTAGCACCACTGGCAATAAGTACAAGGGCCACACAGGGACTACAAAGCAAACCCCTTCCCGATGGCTCCTGCCCAATCTCATTTTCTCTGGATCACCTGTGTAAAAGCCTCCTTTTCCTGTGGATGGGCAGAATTGCAGCCTCTGGGACAGGAGTCCCCTGTCTTCTCCCTTGCTAGCAAAGCAATAAACCTTCTTTTTCCTTTTTCTCAAGACCTTGTCTCCGTTATTAACTTGGCATCAAAGGATAAGGACTGGGCTTTTGGATAGGTCAAACAGTTTTAGAAACAGATGCAAGTTTGATTTGTTTTGTGTATCCATCAGGCAAGAGAAACCCAGTTTTTGTACCCCAAAGAGGAAAGCTGGGTGACACATCATTGTTGCCTCCCTTGTACAAGACAGCAAGGCCACTGGAAATGGTGACAGAGTCTTTAAGCACTTGCAGATGGAGCCAATTTTGGGACCAAGTTATGACTGGTCAATATGCCTGCCAGTCTGTCCAACTGTGCTTGCTGTAAGGTGGGTCCTGTCCTTTATTGAGGACATTCTAGTTAAGTAAAATAAAAAAGTTCAGCAACTTCGTCAGGAGTGAGGGTGGTGATGAAATCTGTAAAGTCTGAAAATTCCCTTTGCTATTCACAGTTGATTCCAAAAGCTTCACCAAGTCAAAGGCTTTGGGCGAAGGTTGCCTGTCTTTAGCACCATGGCATCTAGCCAAGTCTGTCCTGCAGCTGGAGACCTCGCCTGCCATGCCAAACCTCTGGGTGTGCTGCTCCCGTGACCTAGGGCATAGTGAGCTGCTGACCATGGAAAGTCACAGGCTGAGGGAGCCGCATGTCCAAGAGCCCAGTTGGCCAGCAGTGACCATTCTCCCGGCGTATATCATGAAATGGAGGAAGGGGATTTCTTTTATCAGAAGCATGCTTCTCATATCAGAAGCAGCACAAGAGCAACTTGTGCTTGTGCTGGTCCAGGGACTTGAGGAGGTATGAGGTGTGCTTGCTGGAGCCACCACAGTGAAGGGGCCTCCAGCAAAGGCACAGCAAAATGTTTGCTATATTGCAAACTGAACTAATTTTAGGGCCTTTTGGCAAAGACAGACCCATTCAATATAGGTCAATTGGCAATAATAGCACAATTAGAGTCCAATAAGATTTGTGAGAAGTATGTTACCTTCAAATTCCAAACTGGAAGGTCAGGCGAAGCCATCAGAGGAATGGGCCACGCTGCTGCTCCACCTCTTGCAGATCCAGCTTTCTAGGAATTTGGTGTGATTCCCAAGGTAGGTAAGGGCGAGCGTCCTGGATAGAGTATTGGAATTCTCTTAAGGATTTTTTTTTAACAGAAAAACGTATGTAGTATTCACCTAGTTGCAAGATGCAGAAGAATATTTCAACCATTTGCAGAATTTTATATAATACAGTGTGCATTAAATGGCCTATATATTTTAATAGCTTACATATTATACATACTACTAAGTTACGCATAAATAATTTGTTATATGGTCGCTTTATGTCTCACTGCTTGGCTAGCAAAGAGGACACACCAGGTATCCTGCCCCAGAGCCTGTGAGTCTGCCCATCACGGGGCAGAAGGGGCTGTTACCTCTCAGAACTGGCCTAGAACTCTAGCTTATCTCACATCTGCAAACTGAAGCAGGAAAAAGAAAAGCTGGGCAGGTGGGTTACGGGAAAGAGTCCAGGGAAAGCACAGTAATCAACAATGATGTTTGTCCCTCAGATTTCAGCTGGTGACTTCTCCATTCAAGAATCTCCAGTTTCTGAACCCTCCCCCTCTTCCTAGTACAGGGAAGGAAACAGGCTTCCTACAGAGAAGCTTCCTTTGTAGATGAAAATTTCCAGTATTTACAAAAAGGAAATTCCTTTTCTGCTTTTAGAGCCTTTCCTGTGTCTGTGGTTTTTCTAGCTGTTCAAAATACCCCTTCTGCCAAAGAGACATGTCTTGGGGGTGTAATATTCCAATTTCCTACATGTACGTTATTTAAGTACTCCAATTCCAAATTTAGGTAATGTGCTAAGCATTTGAAAAATACTTCTGTTCAAACTACTCAGAATTAAAATGGAATTTAGATATGTAAAGTGGAAATTATTATCTCTCTCAAAACAAAATGAGAGAGCAATAATACTTATAACTAATGCTTCACTGTATCTTAACATGCTTGTTCTAATTTTCAGGTAGAAATTTTGCAAAGCGTTTTGCATAGGCTGAATTTCAGGCAATAATTAAGGAAATCTGGAGTTAGCACAGGTCAGTCCTTACAATAGTTTGATCAGGAGCTTAGATCTTTGATCATCAGCAAGCTCCTAGATACTCTATGACTAACTCCCCTTGCCAGTTTTATGCCTCTTTAACATTGAGCCTCTGCTCTGTTCCCTTCCCTTTATGACTTAAAAAAATGTGTCAAGTAATACAGAATGTTTCTGCTCCCTGTCTGAGCTGTCTATGCTATAGAGCTGTTTATTACAATCAATTCTTCGCCTTGTTCTCAGCTGCATTCCCAACTTCTGAGGTCTGGTGTACAGGAAGTAATCAATAAGAGCTGACTGTCGACCTCCTCCATCTAGACTTCCACCTAATACCTGCAGCATCCCCAACCTGCCAACATCAGCATCTCACCAATTTCAGTCCCAACACTGTCATTCCACTCTGCCTCCCTTTAGTGAAAACATTTGGCTGCTCAGCCTCAGCAGTGCCACAGTGAGAATTCAATAGAATCTTTGGGTGAGTTTTGCCAAAACTATATCATTATGACATTAGCACTTTTCTAAATGAACTTTATATCAGTATTCTACGCTGGTTTTCTATGTTTATTTTCACAACATTTAAGGACTCCCTAATATATGCATTTTGTTAATTTCTAATAATCGTTGAAATTAACTTTCAAAATAAAAGATCGTTTCTTACATTTTTAAGTATAAAAGCGGGGCTGGGGATGTGGCTCAAGCGGGTAGCGCGCTCGCCTGGCATGCGTGCGGCCCGGGTTCGATTCTCAGCACCACAAAGATGTTGTGTCTGCCGAGAACTGAAAAATATTAAAAATTCTCTTGATCTCTCTCCTCTCTCGCTTTAAAAAAAAATATATATATATATATATATATATATAAAAGCAAACTCTAATAAAAAGAGTAATGTATACATGCATTTCACATGATAGCCAACAGCAATATGATAAGGATACAGAAAATATAACTAGACATGAATGCAGGCAGGGCAGTTTCATATTTGTGCGGCCTGTGGGTAATATTGACCCGGGTCCTGTTTTACTGCTCTACTGGGATTCTTCTGAAATCCTAATCATTTTGAAATGGAGGTCTGCATTCTTATTTTCCACTGAGCCCTGCAAATTATGTAGCACATTCCAAATGTGGGGGTGGGGGGACAATTTATTGGCTTAATACAAATTAGTAAACAAGGTCAAAGTCAAACACACACAGCATGTACCTTAATGCATGGGAAGCTTTTGTCACAATTCTTAAAGACCTGAATGTTCACTTGAACTTGAAAGACAGGTACTCTGTATTTCCACTTTCCAGCCCAAATTGTAATTATGGGAATAATTACCTCCTTAAACTTTATCTAACGTAAAAATAATCTCGTAAGAACTGACTGTAGGGTGAGAACCTGCTGTGCAGTGGGGATATGCTGGTGTAGTGGATGAGCAGACTTGAGTCCTAATTCACCAGGGCCTGCTTGGTGTCAGTTTGATTCTTTGGTGGGGCCCAGTGAAAGTCATTCTCATTTGACTTAATCTATATTTGCGTTCTATCCGTGTTCCTTAGGACAAAAGTGATCAAAGGACTAGTATGGGTAATATCTGAACAATTCCTCCAAACCAATGAAATTTGGTCAGTAATTTAACAGAAAAGCATAAAGACGACTTGAAAATGTAATGGTGGCTTCTGCCTTGGACATCGTCTTTGAAGAGTTGCTTCCTGTCCCTTGGCCTGGCATTCTAAATTCTAAAGAAAAGCCACAGCTTAATGATTAAGACATTAACTGTCAAATTTTTCTTTAGATTCACAGAATCCAGACATCTGGTGACCTTCGATAACATCAGAACGCCTCTCCTTATTCCTCAAGTCTGTGCGTAAACCAGCACAAAGCATGGAAATAGTTGGATAACGAACTTGCAGAAAAGTAACACGTTTGACACTAGCCCCAGGAGGTCAAGGCCACTGGGAATACTGTGGCTGGGGGCCAGGCAGGGGGTGGAGGGCACTGCTCATCACATAACCTTTGTTTATTGCCTACTATTCTACTCCTCCTCCTTTCCATCCCTGTAAAAATCCATACACCTGCCTGAGGTCCCTGAAGTTGCACTTTGAAGATTGGATTTTCGTCTCCCAAAGAATTGAGAAACACACACAAGAAATAGGCAAAGTACAGATTCATTGAAAGTGGTGATGAGGGTAGCACTATATAAGGTAGAAGTGGGCCAAGCAAGAGAGGCTCAAGGCCCTGATATCTGGAAATCAGTCTTATACGCTGAGCAGTGAGATGTTCTCTTTTCTTTAAGAGTGGGATTGAAGACCCTATGCCATTTGCTCCCATTGGTTACCTTATGATATCAGATTAGAATACCAGGTTGAATTATCCCCATTAGTTCTCTTAGAAAACCTAATTAGAATACGTCTTGTGCTCCAGCAGCATCCTTAGACCCTGCCCTCCACCTTCTTGGCATCCCTGAACTCTTACCTAACAAGATGGGATCCCCTCTACCTTCTTATAGCCCTCAAATAAACCTACCTCCCACCACTAACTCTCATCTCCCAGGTCCTAGTTTCACATGGAAAGCAGCTGGATCTGGGTCCAGCAAAAATTAGATAATTTGGGGAATAGCTAATAATCATGAAAAAAAAAGTACTTAAAAGCTTATCCCAAACACTAATAAGTCATGCATAACAAAGTCACAATGAAATAGCATTTTAATCCCATCAAAGCCTACCTTATAGCAAGGCTCAGAGGTGCACCCACCAGTGATTCAGGAGGCTGAGGCAAGAGGATCTCAAGTTCAAGGCCAGCTGGGGCAACTTAGACTCTGTCTCCAAATAAAAGAATAAAAAGAACCAGAACCAAAATTTAGTGATAAAGGGCCTCTGGGCTTGATCCCCAGTACAATCACCAATCAAATCCTATCTTACCCACAGTTTTAATTTCTGTGGCTTAAGTTATGCATGGTCATGTGCAACCTGAAAATATTAAATAGAAAATTCCAGCAGTAAACACTTGGTAGGTTTTAAATTGCACATCATTCTGAATAGCATAATAAATTGTGCCACCCTCCTTACCTCACCCTGTTAGTATCCCCACACTCCATTTCTCTTCGTGGCCATTTAGGTTCTCAGATTGACAGTATTGCAGTACCTTTGTTCATTTCATTTAGTAATTGCTACAAAACACAAGATTAAGCATTATATAAAAATTTCATGACAACTGGATTACAGTACATTGTTATAACCTTTCCATAATATTTTTGTTAATTTTACTATGTCTAATTCATAAATTCAACTACCATAGGCATACTCGGGTGTGTGTGTGTGTGTGTGTGTGTAGTATATATAAGTAGTACACGTAGGGGTTGGTACTACCCATGCTTTCAGATATCCACTGGGCTTCTTAAACTATGTCCCCCATGATCAAGGGGGGACTGTTGTATGAAAAATTAAATTTGAGAATACAACTTACCAGCAACTTTTCAAACCTTGGGGGTATAAACTAGTGAAAGTATTTGGAGAGCAGTTTCACACTGTCTGGTAAATCTGAAGAAGGGGCTGAAGTGTAATGGAATAATTCCACCTCCAGTTTTATGACCTAGAGAAACACTCACACATCTGTACAAGCAGTTATGTGTGAATCTTCATTCTGAATCTTTTGTAATAAGGAAAAAACTTAGTGTTCCTAATTAAGAAAATGAACGACTTGTATTATAGTCAAATTATATAGCAACTAAAATAAATTAGAATGACATCAACCAGCTAGGATCATTTTTAAAAACGGCATAAATGAAAGAAGCAAATTTCAAAGTAATTAGTGTGAAAAATGTATGGAATTTTTTTTTAAAACAAAAAAGCAATGTTATTAATGTTTGTTAATATCTAACATGCATAATACAAACAAAAACATGAGAGCAATGATACCAACTTGAGGGCAGTGACTATATTCAGGAGAGAGGGGGATCAAGGAAGGGGAGAAAGGGACTCAACTTTTATCTGACATTTTATTAAAAGCATACCCCATAAGGACATGGCAAAATATCAATGTAGTAAATTTGGAGAGCATGGTTAAGTGAGCATTTGTTATTTTATTACTTTGAGTATGTCTGAAATCTTGTTTCCAAAAAGAGGAAAAGGAATTAAGCAGCCAGTTTTGGGGGAGCTGGGTGTGCGCCATCTCGCTGCCGAGATGCAGGGTCTGCTGTACAAATTATCTGGGGCTTTTACTTGAGTTGTGCCTCATTAGCAATCATGTCTAGCACCAATTAGAAAAATTAAATCTCCATACAAAATTACATGGTCTGCAATTAAGCAACGCCTGGCTGCCAGTGGGAGGGCCGCTCCTTCCAAGCCAGAGCTCCACGCTCTGCGCTCCAGGAAAGGGAGAGGGGCGCTGGGCCCAGGGCGCAGGGCGTCACAGGCACCACGGGCACCCTGCATGCTTCCCTGCCCCTGCTCAGTTCTTCTAAAATCGGTTTCCCAGGCTTTCAGTGAAGGGGAGAAGCGTCATACTCTTTCCTCCCGACAGCCTGGCTCCGGCTGCACGCGATGTGCCAGGGATCACTGTACGTGGGGACCCTCCAAGGGTGACCGCTGACAGCTCCTCCGGCACCAACCTCCTGGCAGCTGTCACCCTCATTCCTCCCAACGTGAGCGATCCCTTGAGTCACAGGTGCTGGAAATGATCTGCTGCGGACTCGCTGGGCACGCATTAGGTACAGCAGCGTCTCGGTGCACATTTGATGGCAGACGATTATACACGCTTTCATGTAGAGAAAAAACCTCCGGGGCCGATTCCCACGTCAGCAGGTTGAGAGGACAGTAGCCCACTCCATCTGCTTGAGTTCTAATTTAAGAACATCTCGGGGACAATTTTATCTGCAGGGAGAGGAACGTGTTTAAATTTAGACACATGATTTCAGACCATTCAGAACAAAGACGGCCCACATTGCTACACTGCTGCCTGCCTGCATGCCTGGACACACACTGGTCCTTCCGCAGTTAAACTGTCTTAGTTACTGTCCTCATTTATAAAACACTACCACGACACACACAGTGATGCTGGACTGGTAAAAACAGGACCATCCGGGGGTAACAGGGGTTTCTAGATTGACCTATCCTTTCCCTGAGCAGTTACTTTCACAGTAAGTGCATCATGCACCTATTTGGCATCTTATGATAGACTATCAACTAGACTGACAGTGCTTTCTTTGAAAGAAATAGACACCCAGTAATAATGACATATGTAAGGGATGTGATTATGGCTCTAACTTTAATTTGGGTTTATAATTATCTAAGATAATTTGATCAAATCAAAGACTATCCACCGGTTAGTCTGGTAGGGTCACTGCTCCGAGTCTGAGATGTCCATGGAGGATTCTGCGACTCCTAGCCCACCTCTCCCCTCTTTTCACTCCTGTCCAATAGAGAGGGAATTGATCTGCTGGGGTCTGGGATCTGCAGAGGCTCCGCTCCTGGGTTCTCCCTGTGCGGTGCCAGATGCTCACACACCTGTTCCTCCGTGCAGTGAGCCCACGAGGTGTGGTGGGGACTGAGGAGCCTGGCCTGAGGGTCTAGGCTGGTCCATGTAATCCAAGGGGGACATGCAGGACTCTAACACAGCCACAGGTTGAGCGGACTTCCCTCATTCCAGGTTCAATAGCCACAAAGCGGATGGGCTGTTCTTGGTCTCCCTGACCTCAGCACCCAGTTCACACTGGGTCCGAGTTGGAGAATACCCTCTTTATTTCCCTTTTCAGTTCACCCGGGAAATTTTGAGAAAAATGAAAGTATCATTTGGAGACTCTAACGACACAGCCAGAGGCTACGTTTCCAGGTGGGACCATGGCAGGCTGTTTAGGGGCTTCACTGAGTGGGATGTGACTCCTTGGGCCTTTTTAACTCAGTGGCTCACTATGGCTGGCACCGTGCCAGGCCTGGGGGGTAGCAAGTCGGTGGGAGGGGATGGGCCTCAGCATCCACCCCAGCAGCAGACGCAGCATGGGCAGGACCGAGACTGCATAGGAAGCCTTACCTGGCTGCTGGCTGCTGATCCAGTGACCCTCCACACTCTCATAGCTGCTCATACTGGCTCCTCCTGTACCTTGGGCACACTGAGTTTATCGCCATCACAGGATTTCTGCAGTTGCCGTTTCCTTCTCTGAATCAGGTTTCTGAAAATAAGACCTAGCTTTCTTGCTTCATCCAAGTCTGTCCTCAAAGGCCATATTCCAAGAGGGGTTTTCTTTTCTTTCCAGACACCTTGTGCCAAAGTCAGCACAGGTTTCTCACTTGGCTTTCTTCTTTTCCTATTTAACCACATTAGTATCAATTTAAGTGTCTAAATTTAAGTTACCATGTGTATGTGTCACCTGTCTCACTAGAAGACAAGGCCTGAGAGGACAGAAGCTATGTCCTTGATGACTCGATCCAAAGCTTTAGCATAGTACGCGTTCAATAAAAAACAAAGTCCTTTTAATGACGTTTTTAAATATTTGTTCATTTCTCCTCTTCTGACAGTAGTCAAAACACATTGTTCAAAACCAATTCATTTTTGCTCCAAACTGATTCCTGCAGCTTCAAACCTTTTTCAGTAATTTCTTGGCCTTGAATTAATGTTTTCTTGCTATACTTCCCTCTCCCGCCAAAATATTTGCTGTATAGCAAGATGTCTCTCCATTCCTTACTCAATATGAACCTCTTTTTCATGAGTGAGACCATAATCAGACCCTCCAACATCAAAAACTGTGGATCATAGATTACATGACTAATAAATCAGTAAGTCTCTGGCCCAGATGGGGAGAGTGTAGAGGAGTGTGGCTTTGACCCAGGGACCAGCCAGGTGACCAAGGGAGCCCAGATCCCTTCTCCTAGACCTTCATGTGGTCTAGGAATTAAAACCTAAATAAGCTAGACTTCTGGTTCCCAATACTCAGGAACACTTAGTGTTCTGAACAGTCAGTACTGTAGCGGGTTTTGATCTCTAGAGTCCCAGGTAGCGGAAGAACGAGAAGCACCCTACCCACCCGCGCCCCAGAGCCCAGGTGCTCAGATGCTTCCCGTTTTGAATTGAGGCTTTACTGTGATCTCAGCCTTGTTGGGCCACACACATCTGTAAAGTTCAAGGTTAACCAGAGCTGTCTATGCACGAAGGCCAAGGTATCTCAAAGAGGACTATGACAACTTAGGAAAGGATACACAGCCCTACCAGTGCAGCCTGATCGGCCGTAAGGGAAAGCAGCCAGATGACCTGCACCTCACCAGGAGCACGCCCGACACTCAAGGCTCCTACCCTGGCCCCAGTGGAAGTCACGCTCTCCCTGTGAGCTGCTGGCCCCAAACTCCAGGGCTCCACCAATGCACTGGAGCTGTGTGGGGCCATATCCATAACCCTCCACCCTTCTCCTCCTGCTTCCTGAACCAACCCTGAAACCAGACATGTGTGTAACAGAAATGAGATCCCTTATCAACTTTGCTGTGAGGTTAAATTAAGAGAATGAACATTAGAAGAGAAGACTTGGACAGGCTTCCCTCTCTGAACCGGGCCTACCTCCCTCACGTCACTGCTCTGGTTAGCAGCCATGGAATCAGAAGACACTTAAAGTTATTTAGATGAGGTCAAATAAAGGAACTATTTAGGAATGTGTGGACAGGGCATAGGAATGGAGCCCCCACATGCCGACTGCAGAAGAGGGCTGTCTCTAGGTACAAGTTCTGAAGGACAGAGCCGCATAGAGGGACCTCTGGAGGGGAGAAGGGCAGCCCTGCAGGACAAAGTGACAAACACCTTGAACTAGGTTCTGCTCCTGTTGGATCTTCGGCCAGGACCCCCCACTGGAGGTCCCAGAAGCCAGGGAAAGGAACAACTTGATATTGCCAGCCAGGTCAGCCTCTGGGGGACATGAGGTTGACAAGGATGGGGAAGTGGGTGGGGGACAGAAGACACAAGACCACCTGGCAAGCGTGCCCCACGGGTGAGTTGCGAATGGCACCTCCTGAGTGCAGGCTTGAGACCAGGGCAGTGTCACCCTGTCACGCCGAGTCTCCTCCTCAGTCTCTCTAGCTTCCCAGAGACGGGAGCGCACGGATTTCACGGCCCGCTGGGCCTGCCTGGTGGGACTTCCCGCCCACTGTGGGTGGGAGAGCAGTGAGCCGTGGGCATCCTCCGCAGTGTTCACCAGTGGACCCACACATTCTCACTGGGGACATGAACGCTTCCTTGTGCCCCGAGTTGGAGAATCACACACCTGGAGGCCGGAACCTTGACGGTCAGCTTCCGTGGGGAAGAAGCAACTGTCCGAGTCGGCTGTGGAGCTCTTGGCAATGCGTTTCCCCAGTGCTCCTTCGAGACCTCCCGATCCAAACAAGGAGAGGACCCATCTCAAGGCGACGGCCGGGAAGAAAGCAGCCAGCCTGCGAGGAAGCCCCACGGAGGGTCTCCCTTTGGAGACCTTCCTTTGCACATAGAGGAGGGGTGTGTCCAGAGGTCAGCTGACCTCCTGAAGGTCAGCTCCTAGGGCAGCGCAGCACCCACAGTGGGCGAGGGCAGGCGCTGTGGGCAGAGGAATGCGGGGGTGGGGGTGATGGAGTGGAACCAGACAGGTGGCCCAGCCCAGCTAGTTCAGCCACAGAAGACGCACAGGAGTAGGTGGTATTAACTCCCTTCTGCCCAAGGCCTGAAGGTTTCTTTGCTGGTTGAGAGCACAGAGGACAGGAGGTCTGTCCCAGCCTTTATTTACTCAGCTCACTACTGCAAGTTCCTTGGCTGCCTCTGGTGCCGAGCTACAGCTTGTGGAGATTGCTTTTTAAGAAGAAATGCTGCCAGTCTGCAGCGTTCTCCCCTCCAGCACCACGCCACCCAGGTGCATGACCCCACTACTCCTGTTCTTGATGTCCATGGCGGGGACCAAGGGCAGGAAAATGCAGGCAAAACCACTGTTTATAGGAAACATCCACTGAAGGCTTATGGAGAAAGAGGGAGTTATAGCTCAAAATCATAAGTTAAAATTGAGTAGTACATTAAATATATTAAGAATATTAAATTTTAATATTAAAGTAACTATGCTTAAACTTCTTCAGCCATTACCAACCATGAATGTCTATAGCTTTACTGGTATTTGGGACCTTTGTGTACATATCATCCTTTTTAGAAAGTGCTGCGTTCCTTCTTTTAATCTTAAACCAAATTCCTTGCATTTTGTCAAATGTAACAACTCAGCATTTGCTTTATTTTGCCCATTCCTTCTACAATTTGCATTTAGTTGGACCATCAACGTATTTTCCTTTAGGAAAATTTTTCCAGAAAAAATTCTGATGCCAATTAAAAAAAAAAGTAATATTAGCTCTAAAAGTCTTTGAAAACCTACTACATGCTCCAGAACCTCCGCGTTCATGGATTTTGTCTATAAATAAAGCTTTTAAGTGATAAACTTGGAATTTGAAAAACATTAATTCCTAGGTCTTATGCCCAAGTCGATATGATGGTTGTGTTGCAGGGAAGTCATGGAACGTTATTTAGCCATCTGGCTCTGAGCGTGGCAAAACACCACCAACCCAGAATCTCTTAAGTTTAATTAAAAATACTGCACACTCAAATATCAGGTTTACTACCTCAACGTGGTACCCTTTGGTATTGAAGTTTAATTTTAAGTGGAAGAAATTGTTTGAAAAATCAGTTTCTACTTTTCTAGTCATAGTTTTCTAAATCTTGGCCATTGATTATTCTAGGAACATTTAGATAAAATATTCATTCACTGATCATTTCCAGATGAGTAGTAGTAATACGTTAGTATACAAAAATCCAGCGGTACAATTTGTTTAGTTTACCAGCCTAGAGAGACCATATCCTATCTGCATCTGA